CAGCGTCTGTTCTATTTGCAAGTGAAGGATGCGATTTTATCGGATGAAGTGTACTGCTCGCCTGAAACATCAGTGTTGCTGGCTTCGTTTGCAATGCAGGCGAAATATGGAGACTATCAACCAGAAACTCACAAACCTGGTTGTCTTACTGCTGATAGGTAACTACACCTGTAATAATTGTTTATAGCTTAGAACTCTGGGGTAGTATCCTGTTTTCCAATCAGGATTCATACCTTTCTTCTCAGGCTTCTTCCTCAACGAGTGGCTGGACAGTTTAAAATGAGCTCTGATGAATGGGAAAAACGAATTATGACATGGTGGGCAGATCATAAGGGAACAAGTCGCGAGCAAGGCAATGGCTGAATACCTAAAACTGGCACAGGATCTTGAAATGTACGGCGTCAATGTAAGAGTGCTTCGAATTTTGTCGATGGATTTTGATCTATTCACTCTCTTTTCTCTTCGATATCTGATATTACTGTTATTGGAATCATTATGATTCTAGTATTTCGAAATCCGCAACAAAAAGGGGACAGAGCTCTATCTTGGTTCGACGCTCTGGGACTGACATCTACGAAATCAGGATAAGCTATCTCCAAAGGTGAAATAGAATAATACCGCTCCTTGTTGAAGTATACTGTATGTATGGTATCTAATTGCAGGTCGGATTCCCATGGTCCGAGATCCGCAACATCTCGTTTAATGACAAGAAGTTTGTCATCAAGCCCATCGACAAAAAGGCCAATGTACGTAAGCTGTTTATTTCCTTTTTTCTTAGTTGTTTCGTTATAAAAAAAAAAACCAAAATTCCAGTTTCCCACTGCGCAGTAGATCTCCCAATTGTTTGCTTTGAGGAAATAGCGTTGTCGTTAATGCTGACCCCTCATTTTGTTGCAGCCCTATATCTTTCTTTTTCCTTTTTTTGTTTTTTTTCTATAAAAAATATTTGTTCAGGACTTCATATTTTACGCACCTCGACTACGCATTAACAAACGTATTCTTGCACTTTGTATGGGCAACCATGAGTTGTACATGCGTCGTCGCAAGCCTGATACTATTGAGGTGAGTGCATTTATGCATAATTTGTTCACTTTTCGCGTACTCCCGAGCGGGGTAAAAGTGTTCGAACACTCAAATCCATCATCAGTTCTATTCCGTTGTGCAAGTTAAGTTCTTACAGGTGAAGATTTTTTTCGCATTTTTCGGTCATTTGTGGAACTTACGGGAACCTTTCTGTTATACTCTATCCTTTTTAGGTCTTGAACACTTAGAAATAATCAGTATTTGATTCAGGTGCAACAAATGAAGCAGCAAGCCCGCGAGGAACGAGCACTAAAACAGGCTGAACAAGAGAGACTCAATAAGGTACGTCACAGTTATAGCTCATCTCTTTTGTCCCGGTAGATAGATATGATCGGGCTAGACTTTTTTCTTTTTTTTCATCAATGGGCTTCGGGAAAAGGTAATAAATTTTGTGCAAAGCTTCCTTGCTAGTGCATATCTCAACTCACTCTCTGCGCGTTTATTCCTCTCAGAAAAATGTACGTGGATCCTTGTTGCCGCCACTCAGAAAATGAAGATGTTCGCTTGGACTTTTCCCTGCTTTGGCGGAAAAGGTGCGAAAATTTGCGACACACAGACGGCTGTTTATTCAGGAAATGTCCGCACGCGAGCAAGCCGAAGCACGTCAGCGTGAAGCCGAGGATCGTATGCGGCGTATGGCTGAAGATATGGAGCGTGCTAAACGAGAACTTCTTGAGGCACAGAACACTATTCATAACCTTGAAATGCAACTTAGACAGTTGCAGTTGGTACGTTCTCTTCCAAATTCTCTGGTTGTGTTTAATTCCGACGTGAGATACGACGGGGTTTCATTTCAAAATGTTTCAGGCAAAGGAAGCCCTTGAGACTAAAGAGATCGAGCTCCGCGAGCTCACTGCTCAATTGCAGTCTGAAAAGATGATGAGTGACGAGGAAAGACGAAGACTTCGCGAAGAAGTTGCTATTCGTGAAGGCGAAGTGAGTGACCCTTTTTGTAAATGTTATCTGTCCTCGGTTTGCACCATTTTCATGAGAAATAAGCTTTGCAGGTTCATGCTATGCGCACTGAAGTGCAGCGTCAAACAGAAGTCACTCATCGCCTCCAAGACGAAATAGAGTCGGCGAGACGTGAATCCGTGATGCAGCACACCTCGGTCATCAATCATCACACTCATGTAATGTTGTTTTCTGCTTGGCCTTGATGGTTTGTCATTTGGAAAGCGATAGAAATGGTTGAATTTTAGGTCCAGCACACGATGCTCACTCGTGAGGATAACCACACTGATGAGGATGAGAATGGCATCACAGGTAGGAGAACTGAGTTTCTGACTACTTTGAATGCTTCGAAGTGAGATAAGTATTTCCATGTTTAGAGCTCACCAATGAAGCTGATCAACACGTGCCACAGCGGGAACTGGAGCGCGTCACAGCTGCCGAGCAGAATCAGAGCATAAAATCGAAGCTCGAGGTAGTAAACAACCCGTTTTCCTATTTGAACAGAATTTAAAAGATAGCAGTGATCCATATCGACTTTCTTTTGAAATTGTCGTTTAAAATTCAGTTTTATAGTTTATTGAATCCTCCCAAGATTGTATTACTTAGCAAGGCTGTCGTTTTCTCTCTCCTTCGCTCTTCCTCAGAGCCTGGAAAATCGACTTCAAACTTCGAGATCGATACATCAAAGTTTGTAACAATCCCGAAGACAACTCTCATAGACTAGAAAACCCTCAGTCGGTATCGGTCAATGCGAAGAGTGTTACCAGCTTACCTTGATGTCTGTCGCCAAGGAGCGAGAGAGACCACCACTAGAACTTGAATTTTAGTACACTGAGCATTACCTCCACGACCTACTGATGGTCAAAATTCACGGAGGCAAAGGCCCTGTTCAGAGATGCCCGCTTACGCGAAGAAACGCAGAGGCGAAATAAAGCGGAAATCTCTGCCAAGATCAAATAAGTATCGATTGGAGAACGCGTAAGCGAAACGTCCGGAGCAGGCGAATTTCAGTCAAGAGTTTGATATGTATCGACTGTGAGAAACGCACGGCGGAAAATCGCGTGAGCGAAGCGTTCGTAAGTCGATGCGTATGATACTCATTTTCGTCGATCCTCCCACTTCACGATTCGCCTGTGCGTCTTCGCTTCAGTCGATACATATTTCACATTATTTCGCCTCTGCGTTTTTTCGCGTAAGCGGGCATCTCTGAACAGGGCCTAAGAAAGGGCGCGATCGCGGGTTACGGCCACACATTCCTCTTCTCCAATAATTTTGGGGTCCTTGGCGGCAATCCAAGACGTTTCTTAAATTTTGCGCGCTGCTGTTTCAGTTTCTATTGTCAAAATGGAGACTGATATTCAAGCTCGACATCGAGAGAGTCAAAAAAAGTCCAAAACGACAGCTTTGTTAAGTATTGTAATCTTTGTGAAGTTTCAGGAAGCTATTTATAAAACCGGAAACAACGGTCGTATGCGTGGATTTAAAATGTAAATTGTGCTGTATGTATCCATTTTTAAGATGCTCACCCGTGAGCTGGAGGTGGTCAAAGATGAGCGCGCCGTTACCGATTACGATGTGCTGCACATGGAGAACAAACGGGCTGGTCGGGACAAATACAAGACGCTGCGTCAGATTCGTGGCGGAAACACGAAGCGACGAATTGATCAATACGAGAACATGTAACAATCATGCCTGACCATTTGCTGCACTTCTTAGAAACTTATTTAAGAATGTATGCTCGTCCTTTTTCTCATCTGCGCAATATAAGCCATCCAAACCAACCGCAGTCGACTTATTTTATAAAGCAATACATTTATAATAGATATCGATTGGTTGTTCTCAAATGAGTTCGTCGTACGGTGTCGTACGTCGGTGGCAGCGGTGACGGCGCCTTTTTGAGTACGCCGAGCCCAATAAATGTTGCCATGTTCCGAATTATTTGTGGTAATGGCCAAATGGTCTAAAGAGGTGCCTTCTTCGTACTCCTATTGCTCTTCAACTATCACAGCCTCATCTTTTCTATAGCACTTGATGTTCATATCATGATTTCGCCTATTCATCATCATCATCATTTTTCATACATATAATCTTTCCCTGTCGTAGCTCACATCGTGTCACTTCTTCTTCTTCTTCTTCTCAGTATGTTGCGGATTGTTGGAATCACGACGAATATGGACTCGCTATAACGTTGTTGCTAGAGTGATATGTCCGTCCCTGTGAACCTGCGATTGTTCCATTGTTTGCATATCTTGATAAGCTACTCATAACTTGTAACATAAAGATATGTATTGAACAAATCCGAAACAGAACTGATCCGCTCATTTGCGGTCTTATATATTTCAAAACTATGAGATAAAGTTGAAAGTTCTTGCGTTTTTTCAAACAGTATGATTGGTGCAGAGATCCTTAGTTTCCGTGGGCCGTATCCAATCCTTCCTTCAGGCCAAGGGGGAGAAAATCCTCTAAATTTTCCTCCTTTTCTCAATCAGAATCGCTCTAAGAAGGGACCAAAATGAATGTATGTGTGTGAAAGTATTCGTGCACTGACCGGGGAAGGCATTCAGCTCCCCGTGAACTTTGAGTGG